GACTGTAAAGTTGATTTGTCTTTCTTCCCAGAGCCGTTTTTGTAAACGTGTATTGAAGTAATAATTATGATGAAATATTTTTAGTTGAAGTATGTTATCTATAATTTAAATTTTTACTGTCAGAAGCGTCTGTTGTGCAGCAGTTTTTTTAAGTAAGTTAGATAAAGTGAGGCCATTGAGCAATGTGATGAGACATCACTGTCATTGCTCAATGACCTGGTTAAGTTGCAGGGCAGCAGCAGTTCTAGGAAGAACTGCTAGTTGCCACAGGGTGCGACACATCGCTGCATTGTCCGAAGTGCAACGCAGCATGTGTCGACACCGGCACCGGTAATTAGCACGACCGTTGCTAGGACCGGTGGGCCTGCTGAATCGGCGCGATCGATCTACTATAAATCGATCGCGTGGATGAAGCAGAGCAGAGACTGTGAACAGACTGCTGGCTCACTGTGTGGCTCCGCAAGCCAGAGAGGTTACCGCAGTGAGGAACAGCCGTGTAAAGAACGTTGAAGGAACATTGTAAGGAACTGGAGCAATAAAGATACTATTATAAGTTCAAGAATAGAACTTATTCTTCTCACCAACCAACCTCCTCAACTTCCAACACATCTCTTGTGATGTAAACTTGCTTTGTCTTATCTCTCAAGAGTAGTTTTGTAAACGTGTGTACTAATAAAAATGAAAGTTTGATATGCAACATTTGCTGGTTATGTTTTAAATTGTGCCAGAGTCTTTGTGACATAAAGTTGCTTTATTTTTTCTTTTGCTCAGAAGCGTTTTTTCGAAACGTGTTCTGATGGAAAAATTATTTTGAAGCATTTACAAGTAACATGTTCTAGCTATGTTCTAAATTTTTTGTGTCTGAGACGTCTCGTGTAGCAAAAAGTTTTACTTTTCTCTAAGAAATGTTTTTGTTACTGTGTGGTAGTGTATTAAATAATATGAACATTTAGAATCAATGTATTCTGGCTATTTTCAAACTTTCTTGTGTCAATCAACGTGCTAATACAATCAACGTGCTACTTATGTTTGTAATCTATCAGAGGTGTCTCTTGTAACATAAAGTTCTTTTTGTTATGGTGCTTTATCTTTTGTCTCAAAAGTTTTTTCATTAACGCGTGGTAGTAAAGTGAAGAATGAACATTTACAATTAGCGTTTGCTACTGTTGACTACTGTTTAAATTTATACTGTCAGAGACATCTTTTATAATATAAAGGTGCTGAAACTAGTAAGTTGTAAAGCTATATAGAATTATGACAGATCTGTTGTTATTAAAAATGATAATTTTAACAGAATTGTTGAAGAAACATAAATTAGCTTGATAGATGGCTCCTAATACATTGCTCAAATTTCATTCAGTTTGCAAATTATTAACACTTTGTTTACCGAGTATCATAGACGTGCACACACACTTTTGACGGATCTGTAATGTGATATATATATGTTACAGATCTGTCAAAAGTGTGTTATTGACATTAGTCTATTGCACTCATAGAGATACACAAATACATCTCTATTTTTTTTTTCTCTCTCTCTTTTTCTTATATATATATATATATATATATTGTGACGGGCACCTCGGTTTTGGATATTGTAGCGGAGGCGCCGCACAACTTCGGCACGTCTTTTCCAAAAAAAAAAAAACTAAAGTTCTTTATTCACCAAAGTCGGAAGTTGGGCGCCAGGCGTGCGTTTACACGCCAACTCAAAAATCTCAATTAGCAGCAAGAATCCGGACAAATATTTTTGACGTGACCGCAAGGTCACTCGGCAGCTCAGTTAATAACGATAACGGAGAGGCGTGGGCTCAGGAAGCGGTGTTTGTTAAATAAGGGCAAAAAAACTTGTTCATTTAATGATAAGAAAAAAATAGTAGTCTTGCGGATTGAGTGCAGGGGCTGCGAATACGACAAAGGCGTCTCGAGTTCAAATCTCGCTATTATCTTAAGATTTTTTTCAGGTTTAGTCTCTTTCAGTGGAGTTCTCATCAATTGATTGGCAAGCTGAATCGGGCCTCCAAAGATTACTTCGAGTAAAATCTTGAAGTTGTGTGAGGGCGCAAGCCGCGAAAAAGTTTTTTTTATTGAAGTTTTAGATTTATTTAACTTAACATACATAAATACTTAAAATACTTACAATACTTTGTTTGAAATTCAAACAATCAAAATGTTTAGTTCAAAATCAAGGTTGTTTGGATTATTCCAATAAAATAATTTATTTGGATTTAAGAAAATTTGTTAAATCTAAAGAAACCTTTCTCTCGCTTTTAGGAAAATTTACTTCAAGATTTTTTAAAGTAACTTTAAAATCCTACACTATACTTGAAGTTTACTTTGATTTCAGTGAGTTTACTTGAAGTTTACTTTGATTCTATTAAGTTAACTTGAAGTTTTTTTAATGCTTCCAAAGTTTTTTAAAGAAGATTTTTAAGTAATTTATAAAACTATAAGTTTCCTTGAAGTTTACTTTAATTCCATCAAGTTAACTTGAAGTTTTTTCAAAGTTGCTACAATTTTTTAATGAAGTTTACTAAATAGTTTATAAAACTTGAAGATTACTTCTAGTTTTGTTTGAAAGATTCTTCTAAGTTTTGGAAAACTTGAAATTTACTTTTAATTTTGTTTGGAAGTATTAAATGCGCAACTAAGTTCTCGCTATTTTTTTGAAAATGCAACTTTATTGTGAAAAAATGGTTACAAATGAATCATAAAATATTGCCCATCGGTAGCTACAACTTTTTCCCATTTTTCTGGCAGAGCTCGAATACCGTTACAATAAAAGTGTTCGTCTTTTGAGGCTATCCACGAATCAAGCCATTTTTTAATGTCTTCATATGAGCGGAACTGCTGATCAGCCAGACCATGTGCCATCGAATGGAACAAGTAATAATCGGACGGCGCAATATCTGGGGAATATGGCGGGTGGGGTAGGACTTCCCATTTGAGCGTTTCCACGTAGGTTTTAACGGGTTTGGCAACATGAGGCCGAGCGTTGTCATGCAGTAGAATCACTTTTTCGTGCCTCTGCTCGTATTGTGGCCGTTTTTTGCGCAGTGCTCGGCTCAGTTGCATCAATTAAATTCGATACCGTTTTCCAGTGATGGTTTCGTTCGGTTTCAACAGCTCATAATAAATAACACCAACCTGGTCCCACCAAATACACAGCATAATCTTCGCAGCGTGAATATTCGGCCGAGCCGACGACGTAGAAGCATGACCGGGCAGTCCCCATGACTTTCTTTTCTTTGAGTTGCTGTAATGAATCCANTTTTCATCACCCGTCACGATGCGATGAAGAAAACCCTTCCTTTTTTGCCGCTGGAGCAGTTGTTCACAGGCGATAAAACGACGCTCACTGTCCCTTGGCTTCAAATCATAAGGAACCCAAGTTTCTTGCATTTGAATAATTCCCAACGCATGCAATCGCTTGGAAATGGCTTGGCGGGTAACTCCTAATGCTGAAGCAAGCTGTTCTTGCGTTTGGCATGGATCCTCATCGAGCAATGCCTCTAATTCAGCGTCTTTGAAGGTTTTTGGCCTTCCTTCACGCGGACGGTCGTCAACATCAAAATCACCGTCTTTGAAGCGACGGAACCAATAACGGCACGTTGTTTCACTTAGAGCAGCATTTGCGTAAACTTTTTGGAGCTCTCGATGCGCTTCGGCCGCCGTTTTCTTCGAATGAAATAAGAAAATCAACACTTCCTGCAAATGACGATTATTTTTTGGTACAAAATTAGACATTTTCACACAACCAAAAGTATATGACGCCAAAACAAAATCACTAACGTGTCAAAGCGGTTTGTTTACCATATGTCTAAGCTTGGCTCGTGACGTTTTGGATATGTCAAAATCGACCAGCACTTACTGCTGGAGCCATCTATTGACAAACAGCG